TTTCAGGTGACGTATAATTTATTTTTAAGGATGTAAAACTGTTTGTGTATTTAAGATATATCACCTGTTGAAGATGCTTTTATCCATTTATCTGGTATCAACTGAGCGTAACTTAGATGGTTATTAGGTTTCTTGTGATGGAACCAACCCACTAGAATTCAAATCCTACACAACATTGGTGGTCGCATTTTCCTGGATTATTTCTGATGTGCCGGCTCAATCTATCGGATGTGCTCATAGGGGTAGGATGTGCATGAGTGATTTCATAACGGTGAGTGTATGAGCGTGTCTGCATCTATAGTGTGTTAAAAGTGTGTGTGGGGGGGGGGGTATCATTTATGCCACTGCTTATGTCGCACTACTTAGTTTTGCCACTAGAAATTTAACTGCTCAAAAATGTCATCAGACACCATTACTATTAGCTCAAATCTCATCTAACATGTTATAATGAACAAAATACCTATGGACCAAGCTCTTCTTCTATCTCATTACAATAAAGTATGGGTCTCACTTGATCCCAACAGTGTTCTTATTTTTCTCTAAAATTATTCGCTTGCTTACTCCAGACAAGTGGGGCCCACACTTATAATTGTGAGATAGAGAGAGCTGACATGTGGGTCTACGGGTATTTTTGACATGTGGGTCTAGGGGTCTAGACAATAACAATGTTAATGGCATTTTCTGAGCAAACATCTAATGGAACGATGGCATTTTTGAGATATCTAATGGCATTTTTGAGGAAGCATCGCAAGGAACAATGACATTTGTGATGAGTTGTAATCTCTAATTGCAAAACTGAGTAGTGAGAAACAACTAGTGACATAAATGATTAAAACCCTAAATAATACGACTCTCATGAATCCAATGAACAGAGTGAAACAGTGAGAATCTCTACTATTAGAGGAGAATCAAACATCGTGATGGTTCGACCTCCTATCCTATCGATACCCCTTCCCCCACCCTTCGTACGTTAAAAAATCAGGAAAACTACCCACTGCTTCGAAAAAAATAGCGCAGAGAAAGGAAAGAAAAACAGAGGCCATGACCCACCCACGAACACACGTCCCATCCTCCATCTCCCCTCACCCCAAAGAAAAGAGAAACAGCCCAACCAATCTCTCCGCTCTCGAGAAATTCACCGCCGCTGCTCCCCTCATCGTCCTCTCCTGGCCGTCGTGGCTGCGGTTCTGGCCGTGGACGTCGCCGCCGGCCCCGCACTCCCATCTGCATGAGGATCATCTATTCTCCATCTCAATCCCCTCCACCCCCCTCGATTCCAATCTAATCTCTCTCGAGAAACTTCACTTGACTCGGTCGTGGCGAAGATGGCCGACGGCTCGCCGTCTGGCTTTCTCGCTGTTGAGCCCTGTTCCGCCTTCGCCCTCCATCCACTTGCTCCAAGATGTCTTCCGCGGCCATCAGCTTCCATGATTTGGGTGTGCGTCCTCTATGTGAATTCGACGGGTCATCTTCATCGCAGGCGGCCATGGGGAGGACACATGTGGCGGAGCAGATGAGGTACGAGGACCCGTAGAAGGCAAACAGCTCAAACTTAAGCCCTTTGCCCCCATCAGGACTCTGTCACAGGTGCGTGCATCTCGATCCTTTCCTTCGTTCTGGTCGGTTAATTAAGTGCCCGTGAACCAATATTCCTCTTGGCCGGCGCTTTCGGCCGATGGCAAAACGAACACAGAGCAAACGTGGCTTGCCTTGGGATGGACTGAATCAGCTAACAACGTAGCTAGCTAGCTTTGCCTTGAGATGGATCCAGTCGATGGATTGATTGGTCGACTAGCAGGTGGATTATGTTGATGGACTAGCTAGCAACACACACGCACACACTGGCATGTAACGCTATTTGTTGTTTATACTTCTTCAACTCACGTTGATACAACCTAGGAGCTACATGTATCACCTGGCTAGGTAGAGTTACGATTACTGCTCAAAGAAAAGTAGAGTTATGATTTCTATACTACTTGGACAAGCAATCGTTGGTGAACTCTAACAATCTGTGAGATCTGTGGGCAACCAAAAGAGAGAACTAGCAAGGCTGGTGAGTTCTCTTTCACTATTTTATCTAGATTCCTCGTGCTAATTTAAGTAGTTCTAAGCTATCATGTAAATGTAACATAACTATTTTAAAGGTTATCGATATAATCCATGTTTTGCTTTTCCATTTTTAGCAAATAGAGTGGATTCTGAAGTCACATATTTGAATTAGCTTTTGGTCGGTCGACTTGAGTAGGAATTCCTTTTATTATCCCATTTGTTATTTCTACCTTGCTCTGTTGTATAAGATACTCCATATAGGAGGTCAAGCTTGAAAAATGTATAATACCCGACTTGTCGAGACTCATGTTAATAAAGTTGTCATGATATTTTCCCTGCTTCAAAGTGCTCCGTGAGGTATTAGTTAACGGTAGTCTGTATTGATTTTTTTTGTACAGAATTTGACCATTTGTGCAGTCTTTGGTTCGTGATGGATCGACCTTATAAAGTCTTAATGATTACCCTTTCCAACAAGCAACAGTGGGGTTGTTCTGCTCAATCCTGCTATTTTTTAGTCCATTAATTTGTATGTGTTCTTCGCCTCAGAGATTTTATTAATTTCGTTTGGGTTCTAATTAGAGATGCATATAAATAACTTTGTTCTGGTTTTCATAAAAGTAATATGGCACACACCTAGAAGGTTATTGATTATACGTTGCAACCCATTTTATTAAGTTGGGTTTTCTTGACACCATTTTCTATTGCACGCTACTGAATATATACAGTTCTTGCAAGAGAACGAACATAAGTGTATTTGGGTGAGGCACCAGATACAACATCTCACTTTTCATTTTGGAAATTATTTTTATTTAACTCCAAGAGGTCACCAGCTGAAGGTATGGTCCATTCTGATCTTTTTGTTTGTCACTAAGCTTGACAACATCTCACCAACTATAGCAGTAATGTGATTCATTCTTTAGGTTGTGTTTGGCAATGAAATAGTAATTTGGCTGCTGAGGTATCAAGGTAAGGACAAAAATATTTCCCATTTTTTTATTTCTATGGTTGTCATAGTCTAATTTAAGCCCGTATTTTTGGTGATTTCGAAATGTATTCAATTGCATGTAGAAATAGAAGATAAATCTTGTTTCAAACTTTGAGTGTATACTGAAGTTACATGAAGCCTTCGGCACTCCTTTTTAGTTATTGCTGATTTAGTTCAAGTACTAAATCAACCACAACTAATATCGACCAGAGGGAGTATATTATGACCTCCTCTTAACTTGCCTTTAGTAACAAACATGCTAGTACCAAAATTAGTTCTAGGAGGATAGTACTAAAACTCTCGTGCCATTGAAAAACTGTTGAGAAATTTTAATTTATTGCATAGTGCAGGCGGAAAAAGTTTAATTCACCCCGAGAAGAGCCCTCCGAGAACAATTGTTTTGGACTTTTGTGGTACTCTCAAGTGAGGGGGCTTTTGTGGTCTTGCTAATATAGATAAACCATAACCATATTTTATATGATTCTCAACATCCTTGGAGCGAAAGACAGTAACTGCATAATGAAGTTTAAATCATATTCATTTGTTTGTTTCAGTGATGAGTTTTTTTTTGTTTGCTTCTTTGACCAGTTTGTAACCAGTCTTCTGGATCAGAGTAACTGAAAGTTGATGTGTAATATTAGGGTTGTGATTGTAGTGTATCAAATGGGCTAATTTTTATATTTGACTCATCACATATAAAATTTGTATTTTTTTTAAATCAGGAACAAATATAGTTTAAGTATTTTGAAGTGAGATGTGATTTTTTAGTTGTTTTCCACATGGTTTGTTTCAGCATGGGATAATGAATTGGTAAAAATCACTTTCCTTTGTTGGTACCAATACCAATGCCACCAAGTGCAGTCACATTGACGACAGTCAAATAGCCTTGCAGAATGGACAATGTTCAAAGATAGCAAGCATTATGTCGTGTCTAGATATGAGTGGAAAACATGCTACATGTGTACTGCTACTACACCAGCCCAAGTACTTATGTACAGTTCTTCCTAAATTCAGACACTAAGAAGCTAAACTTTTGCAAATGAATCTACTTATCCAAGAGGCTGGCAACAAGATCGGGTGTTCAATAACTAGAGGAGCAACACTCGATCGACAGGAAACTATGAGCATGCATATTATCAAGTTTGCCGGTTCTACATTTTAAACCTTAGCCAACTACCTACTTTCTAATTTTCTTGCATGCAGCGAATTGACTTCCCAAAGAACTACATGGAAGGGATATATGTTTGATTTGTTTTGAATTGATTGTAAGAAATACATGTATGGCACATACAACTCTATTCTCAAAACATATATGAATGAAAATTTATTTGATTTTTTTAGCAATGTCTCATGTCTAAGTTTATTGTTCCGTGGCAACGCACGGGCACTCAGTTAGTATTAGGTAAGGAATAAACTCCTGATTTCCTGAAAACAGATGTACGGCTGACTTCCAAATGGGATGGCATACCGTCAGTGCCGACGTCACGTGTAGCTCTCACCCATTTGGAAGCAAGCTGTTGATGTTCGCCATTCGGCGGCTTCAAGGCCGGCACAGGGCAAAGATACGGCACAATGACACCAATATATAGGGCGCATCAGAGGTTTCACATCACAAGCAGACACATCTTCATTTCACATCAAAGTTTCTCATCTCATCCATGCCCACGGACGAACAGCACCGGCAGCAAAACACAGCCGCAACGGCGGCGCGCGCACCGGCCACCACTTCCTCATCGTGGCCTACGGCATCCAGAGCCACCTCAACCCGTGCCGCGTCCTCGCGCACCGCCTCGCGCCCCTCCACGGCGTCGACGGCTCCGGGCCCGTCCTCGCCACCATCTCCCTCCCGGTGTTCGCTCACCGCTGCTTATTCCCTTCGTCCGGAGACGTCAACAACAACAAGGATGCCGCCACCGACGGCCTCGTCTCTTACGCTCCATACTCCAACGGCCTCGACGGCGGCTCCATGGCCAGGGACCGCGAGGCGAGGGCGCGCAGCCGCCAGGCGACCTTTGAGAGCCTGTCGGCCGTCGTCGCCGCCCTCGCCGCACGTGGCCGGCCCGTCACGTGCGTCGTTTGCAGCATGGTTCTCCCCGCGGCGCTGGACGTCGCGCGTGAGCACGCCATCCCGCTCGCCGTGTACTGGATCCAGCCGGCCACCGTGCTCGCCGCGTACTACCACTACTTCCACGGCCACGGCGACCTCGTCGCGTCCCACGCCGCCGACCCCGCGTTCGAGGTGTCCCTGCCCGGCATGCCCCGCCCGCTCCGGATCCGCGACTTCCCGTCCTTCCTCGTCGACACCACGGGCAGCGAGCTGGCCAAGCTCATGAACGAAGCGGCCCGAGAAGTGTTCGAGCGCTTGGGTGATCACGGCTGCACCAAGGTTCTCGTCAACACTTTCGACGAGCTGGAGCCGGCAGCGCTGGCGGCCATGAAGGAGCGCCTAGACGTGTTCGCCGTGGGGCCGGTGATCGGGCCCTCCTCCTCGGCCGAGCCGCGCATCCACCTGTTCAACCACGCCGGCGCCGACGAGAAGAGGTACATGGAGTGGCTGGGCGCGGAGGCGGCGAGGTCGGTGGTGTACGTTTCGTTCGGGAGCGTATGGACGTACACCGAAAAGCAGATGGAGGAGATTGCCAACGGGCTGCGCCCGTGCGGGCGGCCGTACCTGCTCGTCGTGCCCAACGATGGGCGGCAGGAGGACGTGAGCCGGAGCCTGGACGACGTCGTGCTAGAGGGGCTGGGCATGGTGGTGGAGTGGTGCGACCAGCCGAAGGTCCTGTCGCACCCGTCCGTGGGATGCTTTGTCACGCACTGCGGCTGGAACTCCGCGCTGGAGGCCATGTCGCTCGGCGTGCCGGTCGTCGCCGCGCCAAGCTTGTTCGACCAGCGGACGAACGCGTTCCTGATAGAGGAGGAGTGGGCTGCCGGCGTCAGAGGGGAGCGCAACAGCGAGGGCGTCTTCACTCGGGAGGAGCTCGCGAGGTGCGTGGAGCTGCTCATGGGTCATGGCCCAAGGGCCATTGAAATCAGGGAAAGAGTAGAGGCTCTGAAAGGGATGGCGCGAGAGGCCGCGGCTTCAGGCGGGCCGGCGGAGCGGAGCCTCCGAAGCTTTGTCATGGCGGCCGGTTCAAACATCGGATGAAGTTTGCACGACGATGCATTTCCAAATCGATTAAGTTGATGCATGCCAGCTGGAGTGCATGGAACAGCTAGCTCTCTCCGTCTCGATCGGGCGTCGTTTGCAGCCACTTAAGCTAGGTTTATTAGTCTTACCTGAATTATCCGTTAGCACGGCCGAACAACATTTGAATTGTGCCCGCCATACCAGAGAGGCGCACACTAAGGTCTAGCAGAAATTCGTATCAGTAGTACATTAAGAAGCATGCTACATAGACAATACTTTTGGTACGATTTTTTTGCGGCGATTTTGATCTTAAAGAGCCTACTTTTTTATTAAAAAAATCATACCAAGGCATTATTTATAAGTTGAAGCAATGTTTGGAATATGCACCAAGTCGTGAGAAAAATATCAATAAAAGATTATATTAAATATGTTTTAGGCCATCTTTGAATACGCTTGAAGATTAATAGAAAAATTGTCTATGTCTGAGCGAAATGACCCTAGTTCGTTGCATGCAACTCGACCCTCACATAGCATCTCTCACTTTCCCCTTCTTCTTTTATCCCCATTGATTACGCCCTTTATTCTCGCCTTTCTTTATTACTCCTATATGCCCATTAAAACCGATCATGCATACTCCCTCAAATTCATATAGCCCCCTCTAACATACTTCATATTAATAGTAATTATGTACATGCAATGACGTGTTAGGTAGGATATTAGTGGCACGTTATATTAGGTAAGGTATGTTTGTGGCACATTGATATTTGGTAAGATATTAATTGCTTTCTTCGCCGGAATAGTAAGATATTTTTTACATGGAAGATTTCATGGGATATCATTGAGTCTAAACATGTTTATAGCCAATGCCAGTGGTGGGTAATTAGAGCGTTAAACGTATTTGGTGCTCAACACTGGAGCGATTTGAACCACTAGATCACATGATTTAACGGTTAAGATGGTTTGGATGTGCCCCTTTGGGTCTTTTTATATTGGTATAGATAAGGGCTATATAAAATTTATATTGTGTGTTAGCATTTCTGAAAATACATCATTGCAATTAATTAGGTTATTAATTAAAGTTATACCCTAAACGGAATCTTAAAGTGGTTAGCAGGTACAAATAATAGCACGGTTGAAAATTACATATTTTTTTATCCAATTACATATACAAATTATTTTAGTCTGAGTTACGGTTGCAAAATTATATCATAATCATGTTTAACATATTCTCTGTAAATAATAAAAGGCTATGGACCTAAACGGGCTGAGTGAACTAGAAAACACGGAATACTAAGCAGCGCCCAAGAGCGCAAGATAGTGGCTACCACAGTAGAGTCAAAGCCCAACAAAGAAAAGGCACTTAATGTGGGACCGCGGGTTACTTAAAGGAAAAAATCATGTTCGTTTTGTAAATCGTATGACGGACGTCGAACGGGCAGAAGCACTCCATACTTCATTAGTAGGTATAGATTGTCATATTTTTGGTCAAAGTTGCATCACATATTTGACTAGCAAAATATTCTTGCATGTCATAAAAAAATTACATTATTGAATTTGTATTTAAATATAATTCTCAATGATATATTTTTTATTACGTATAATTTATATTTTTTAGTTAAAATCATGGTTAAAAAAGCCTCAAAATAAGGAGGCTGCTAGTAAACCAAAACGAAGCTGGTAGACATTAACTGTGGGAGACTTGTATGAGATCTCAAATTAGGTAAGATCATGAGATCAACCCCTAAAATCATATTTAGATATTTTAGAAATATCTGAAATTATTTGACAACATCCATATGAGGTATGTCTACAACTCTGAAAAAATCAGCTCAAAAATCAGTGCACATTTAGAGATTCAAAAAAAGACAAATTCAAATGTGAAAAATGGCAGCTTTGGGTGAATAGTACTTTAACACTATATTCATATCTGATTTTGTCTTTTTTTGATTCTATTAATGTAAGTCGAATTAGGAGCTAAAACATTTTGATAGTCTGTACATCAAATATGATGTGTGTCCATAAATTTTTTGAGAATGTTCGAACACGTATTTTTTTTTAAAAAAAAAGCCAATCACACTAATGTGAGATCTCATAAAAGTCTCCCCGGTAACTGCTTATGTGGCTACAACTCAATGAACAAAGGACTTTTTCTAGGCAAACTAAGGACTTTGTTAAGTCTCAATCAGCTGTGATCAATTTGTAGTCCAGTCCATTTATACCATTCGTTCAGTTTTCGCATGCTTGCCTTTGTACTTTCTTAGAGAGCAACTAATCAAGGAGTACTCCTTCACGAGCCCCGTAAGGGTCACTTGGGGTGGGTTGGAAGCACGTTACTTGGCGTGCTCTCAGCCGTCGTCACTTATCGCGCTTTGGGCGCTCCCTTCGACTCTTTCCATTTTTTCATACACGTTTTTGGCTTTTAGATAATAAAAAATCATTTTTTTCGCTTTTTCCGGTTTTTTCTTAGGTTTTGAATAGCAAAAATTAGAAAACGTATTTCTTTTCGCGAGAGGCACGGTCTTGCCTCTCGGAAAAGGAGAAAAATGTGTTTTCCTTTTTTTCGCGAGAGGCATGACCGTGCCTCTCGCAAAAACGCATCTTTTTTCCTACCAAGAGAGGCACGGATTTACTTTCGTGGAGGCACAGATTTGCTTCCGCCATGCCTCTCGGAAAGGAAAAAAATTCACGAGAGGCACGGATTTACTTCTCGTCGAGGCACGGATGTTCTTCTGCGGTGCTTCCCGCAAAAAGGGAAAAGAACATGTTTTTTTGCCTACCAGGAGAGACACGGATTTACTTCTCGTGTAGGCACAGATTTGATCGCTTCTGTGCTAGTGGACTTTTTTTTTGACAGAATTTCTCCTCCTTTATTCAGATACGAGAACAGTGTTATCACTTACAAGTACTGAAAGCACCTCAAGAGGCGCTGAACCCAACCAACAACTAGGAGGGGAAAACTTAACTAGCCTAGCAAGTTCATGGGCTACTTTATTACTCTTTCTATTACAATGATCATAAATAACATGGTTGAAATCAGAGGCCATGAAGAAGCAATCGTCAATAATAGCATATGCAACTGAAGAAGAATTGCCGTCTTTTAGGGCTTCTACTATCTTCAAACTATCTGAGTTTACCACGATCCTGCTGCATCCGACAGTTCTTGCGAGGTTCAGCCCAAACCTGACGGCCAGAGCCTCTGCTGTGAAAGAATCAAAGCAAATGCCTATTTTTTCGTTCGCCGCTGCAATGGATTGTCCACTCTGATCGCGAATGATTGCCCCCACGGATCTTTCAAGTAGATCTTGATCAAACCCCACATCAACATTTAATTTCATGTATCCCTTTGGTGGCTTTTCCCAACCTTCAGACCGAAGTTTGGCTTTTGGTGAACATGCGATACTGAAATTTGCCGCTAGTCCGCGTACAGCTAGGGCGATCCGAGTGGATGTTTGAATTTCTTCACCATAGTATACTTTACGATGTTCGAACCACAAGTACCAAGCTGCGGTGACTACCATCTCTCTCATTTTTGGAAGCCCCAAGATATAGAATTCTGTATCTTCCACATGCAACAACTCGTGCATCACTTCCTCTCCAGACTTGTATTTTGTGCACTTTTTCTATACTATCTCATACAACCCCAATTGTCTCCAAACCTCTACTGATCTTGGACATTCAAACAAGAAGTGGCATATACTATCAGGTTCCAACCTGCATTCTGGGCATTGGATTTTAACCTTCATGTGTTTAGAAGCTAGGACTGCCCGACATGGAAGAGCGGCATGTAGTACTCGCCATATGAAGATTTTAATTTTTGCTGGGCATTCTAAGCTCCATATCAAATTCCATTTCTCATCAGGTGATGAAGGGCCCGCATTAACTTGAGTCAGGTCACCAAACTGAAAATTCCATTCAATTTGATAGGCTGATCGCACTGAGAAAAGCCCATTCTTGGTAGGGCTCCATGCAATAAAATCAGACATTTCATGTAAAGGTAAGGGTATAGCCAGAATCCTTTGAACATCCACATTCCAGAACGTTTGGTTCACCAACTGTACATCCCAATCTCCAGTCACCGGATCAATGAGATCACAAACTCGGGATATTAAGTTACTACCTTTGATAGTTAACACTTTTTTCGTTGGCGCTTGAGGAATCCACGAGTCCTCCCATATGTTCACCTTTTGACCATCTCCAATCCTCCAAATATATCCACGTCTCAACATGTGTACCCCAGCCATAATGCTCTGCCATGTAAAGGATGATTTTGGCTTTAAGGTGGCGTCCAATAAGTCTCTTTCTGGGTAATACTTAGCTTTCAGAATAGTTGCACATAATGAAACTGGGCTATCAATACGATGCCAGGCTTGTTTTGCTAGAAGTGCAAGATTGAAGCAGTGGATGTCCCTAAATCCCATACCTCCATATTTCTTTGGTATGCACATCTTCCGCCACGCGAACCAATGCATCTTTCTATTCGTTGCATCATCACCCCCACCAAAACCGAGACATCGCATTTGTGATTCCTTTACAATTTTTTTTAGGAATTTTGAAGACGGACATCACGTAAGTTGGTATGGCTTGAGCCACTGATTTCAAGAGCACTTCCTTTCCTCTAGAAGATAGGCATCTCTCCTTCCATCCCATTAATCTTTGAAACAATCGATCAATCAGGTATTGAAAATCATCACTTTTATCAACACCCAGATTGAATGGGAGACCCAAGTATCTATCATTCAAGGCCTCTGTCATGATATCCAGAATTGAGCAAACTTCGGCCTTAACATTAGTTCATGTACTTGGACTGAAAAAAATACTCGATTTCTGCACACTGACAAGTTGGCCCGAAGCAGAACAATAGAGATCCAGGATTGATTTTAAGCAAGTTGCATTAGCTGCATTGGCCTTCATCAAAATAAGTGAATCGTCCGCAAACAAGAGATTTGTTACTACCGGTGCATCACGGCAGACTTTGACTCCCACCAAATCACCCTCCTGTTCAGCTCTTGATAGTAAGG